AATCATGCAGCTCCGGGCGGCGGCCATGGGAGCCATGGCTCCCTCCATCTCCGCCATTACGATTCTTCCTGCCCGCCTCGCCGCCGCGCCGCCTCGCCGGCCTGCCCGCCCGCCCTCGAGGCCTCGTCCTCCGGCTGCTCTGGACCGGCGCCGCGGTTAGCTACAAAAGCCGCACCCTCCCCTCGTCGTCGTCGTCGTCGCCGTCGTTGCTCCTCCCTTGCTTCCCACCCATCGCCAGCGCCACCCTCGCTACACGCTCACTGCTGCCATCATCTCCCAGCTCGCCCCCCCCCCCCCCGGTACCAACCACTCCGCGACTAATCCATCACCCCTCCCCGCCTCACGTCACCATGTCCGCCGCCTCGCAAGACAGCCACTTTGTCGGCTGGATCGGCCACGACAACAAGGCCATCGGCAACATGAAGTGGGAACCCTACACGCCCAAACAGTGGGAAGAGACCGACGTCGAAATCGCCATCGAGGCCTGCGGCATCTGCGCCTCGGACCTCCACACCCTCCGCAGCGGCTGGGGTCCCGCAAACTACCCGCTCTGCGTCGGCCACGAGATTGTCGGCCACGTCGTCCGCCTCGGCAACGAGGTCAAGCACCTCCGCCTCAACCAGCGCGTCGGCGTCGGCGCACAGAGCGGTTCCTGCCTCGAGTGCGAGGAGTGCTCCCAGGGCCTCGAACCCTGGTGCCGCAGGGGCCTCGTCGGCACCTACAACGGCAAGTTCAAGGACAAGCAGGGCAACCCCATCGGCGCCTCGTACGGCGGATACGCCAAGTTCTCGCGCGTCCCCGCCCACTTTGCCGTGCCCATCCCCGACGGACTCGACTCGGCCGTCGCGGCCCCGCTCATGTGCGGAGGCGTCACCGTCTACAACCCGCTCCGCACCAACGGCTGCGGTCAGGAGGGCTTTAAGCGCGTCGGCGTCGTCGGCATCGGCGGTCTCGGCCACTTTGTAAGTCGTTGAGCCGCTCTCCCGCCTTGGCTCGGATGGAGCGGACCGCACCGATCGCTGACCCCTTGTCGCCCCTGCCTCTCTCCCTGCTCCTCTGACCCACGCCCAGGCCCTCCTCTTCGCCAAGGCCCTCGGCGCGGAAAAGATCACGGCCATCTCGCAGACGCGCAGCAAAGAGGAGCTGGCGCGCAAGCTGGGCGCCACCGACTTTATCGCCACCTCCGAGGGGCCCGACGTGTTTGCCCAGCACCGCCGCTCGCTCGACCTGCTCATCACGTGCAACAACAACGGCGACATGCCGCTCGACAAGTACCTCACCCTCGTGCGCCCGCTGGGCAAGATCGTCGCCGTCGGCATCCCCGAGGAAAAGATGATGCCCACGCCCCTCGCCCAGCTCGCCTTTTCCGGCGTCTTCCTCGGCGGCTCGCTCATCGGCGGGCCCGGCGTCATCCAGGAGATGCTCGAGCTCGCCGCCAAGCAGAACCTCGAGCCCATGATTGAGAAGCGCAACATGAAGGACGCCAACCAGGCCGTCGTCGACATGGAGGCCGGCAAGCCCCGCTTCCGATACGTCCTCATCAACGAGGACTACAAGGCGCCCGACCGCGCCGCCCTCTGAGCGTCCTCCTGGAGTCCTACGCTGCCGTGACGATATAGACTAGACGACCCGCCACGCCGCCCTATTTCTGCCAATCTAGAGACTTGACGCGCCGACGTTCGAGGCCTTTGCCCGTCCGACTCGATCGCCATTTGCCGACGCCGAACGCCTCTCGCCATCCAAGGACGGCCGCGTGACGCTGCGACAGGAAGGGGACGAGGGTCGATCCTTTGTCGTCGTGTCCGCCGGCGGGCCGAACTTGCCCGGTCGCTGGAGCCGCGCCATCGTCGGACGACATCGTCGGGTTGGCGCCCAACCCGAACGCCGCTTGGGAGGCCCGGTCGGTCTCTCTCACTTTCACCTGCCCCGCACAGCCGAGCCTGACCTCGCTGTGCCGCTTCTCTCTCCCTCACAGACACACATCGCGCCCAGTGCACACGACGCCAAGGTGCAGCCAACGATCTAACATCCCTCCCCTTCCTCCTCAAAGTCTACTACGTACAAGTCTCAGGCCAAGGCCGGGCGAGCGAACGAACGGAGCTCAGTGTCGGAACATTTTCATCTCGACGGCATGTTGGCGCCACGTCTCGAGACCGCCCTCGGTCTGGGTCACGCCGTAGAGGTAGGGCTTCTCGTCGGCGTAGCACGCCACCTCGGCTTCGTCCTGCACGGTGCCGTGCAGCAGGTAGTCGCGGATCCGCGTGTCGGTGCACTTGGACGTGTCCCGAGACGAGTGCCCGTATCCGTGGTGCGCGACTGTCGTCCGTGGTGGTGGAAGGTAGGCAGGCAGGCGGGCAGGCGGGCAGGCAGGCAGGCACGGCACGGCACAGCACGGCAGGCAAGGGAGGCAAGGGAGGCAAGATGGGGACAGGCAAGGCAAGAGCAACGTGTCAGCCATGCGCTACAAGAACCGCGCGACGGGGAGGAGTGGCGCCAGCTTGCGCCCGCGGCCGCCGTCTACCTCAAGGCCCTCCGAGCGCTCCCCCCGCGGATACTCACTGAGGCGCGCGTTTCTGCCCATCTCGGCGAGCAGCCTCCTGCCGTTGCGGAGGGGCGTGGCGGGATCATAGGTCTCGGCGACGAGGAGCGTGGGGAAGCGGAGGGTATGGTTGAGGTCTCCGCGGTAGACGTCGACGGGGTGGGGCCAGTGCTTGGCAAAGTGGCGGCACGGCAGGACGTCGTAGAACCTGCCGTCGCCCGCGATAAAGTCTTTGCGCGCCATGGTGGACCAGAGGCGCTGCCAGTAGTCGAGGTCGCGGGCGGGGGCGTCGTACGAGTCGGAGCAGACGACCATGCTAAACAGCTCGTCGCTCGCCGGCGGGTCGGCGCGCGGGTCGCGCACCGAGGGGTCGTACTCCCACGTGCTGGCGTCGGCCATCTGGATGGCGAGCGTGGCGTTGCCGCCCTCGAGCTGCGAGAGCATCTTGGCAAACATGGGCCACGTCTTGGCGTTGTAGAGCGTCGAGTAGAGCATGCCGATCAGGGTCGAGTAGTCGAGCAGCGACGGACCGCTCTCGTCGAGGTAGCCGGGCACCGGCCGGGCGAGGACCGAGTCGAAGAGCTTTGACATGCGCGCCTCGAGGCCGCGCAGCGTCACCGTCTCCTCGTCGCCGTGGCCCCGGAGCGGGCGGGCCAGGTCGCAGTGGTCCGGACCGGCGTGGACGCACTCTCCGAGGAAGCCGTCGCGGTAGGCGTCGGTGACGTTGTCGAGGGCGGTCCAGCCAAAGCCGCCGAGGAGGCGGTGGTCGCGCACGTACTCGGTCCCGTCGAGGACGATGCGTCCGGCGCGGTGCGGAAACAGGTTGACGTACGTCTGCCCCAGCCCGGTGCCGTACGAGACCATGTTGGCCGTCAGCTCGTCTTCGCCGAGGGCGCGGCGGATCTCGTCGATGTCGCGCGCATTGATGCCCGTCGAGACGAAGCGGGGCAGGTCGCCCAACCGCGCGTGGCACGCCGCCATGACGGCCTCGCCCATGGCGTCGCTGATGTCGAGCTGCGGCCGCGCGTTGCCAGACGTGGTGCGGTAGAACTGGCCCGTGTACAGCCCCCACCGATCGCGGTCGGCGTCGTAGGGGAAGCACGACACCGAGGGCTGCGTGGCATTGACGCCGCGCGGATCCCAGCCCAGCACGTCGTACCGCCCCTCGGTGTACAGCCGGCTCTTTTGCTCGCCCGCCCGCCACACGTAGCTCGTCCCGCTGCCACCGGGCCCGCCAGGGTTGATGACCAGCGTGCGCGCCGACTTGGTGCCGGCGCGGCTCTCGCCGCCGTCGCTGCCCGCGCTGCTGGTGCGGTGCTGGCGGATGCGCGGGGCCAGGCCCGATACCTGGAACTTGGTCACGGCCAGGCGCACGATGCGGTCGTCGGACCTGTTCGAGTAGTCGAGCGGAACATCGAGGTAGCCGCACAGGTAGATGCCTCGACCGGCGTACGGGTCGTCGTCGTCGTCGTCGTCGGTGTCGGAGCGTCGAGAAGCAGCGACGACCGAGTCGTTGGAAGCCGGTTTGCGACCCCAGCTCCAGTGTCGCGGGTCCGGGTCGTACAGCCGTGCCCACGACGTTTCGGCGTTGGGATCGTCGAGAGCCGGCGGCAGGGTGACGTTGGTGCAGGGTAGGAAGTGGAAGGGATCGTCGCGACGCGGGAAGGTGCCGTACGGCCGCGACGAAGACGGGGCAGAGGAGACGAGGTCGTGGATAACGACGTAGGGCAGGCGGACCAGGTTGAAGGCGCAGTAGAGGAGCACGACGAGGATGATGGGCAGCCGCACCAGCATCTGGGCCGTCGTGTACCGCTTCGGTGGTCGCGCATCGGTCGGCGGCGAGCGATGCTGCTGCTGTTGCTGCTGCGTCGCCGGCGAGGGCAGGCCGAGGTCGAGACGCTTTTCCATGTCGAATGTTGGAGAGGCGATGAGAGAAGTAACTTCTGACGCTCCTCCGGCCTCGAAGCAAGGGGGAGAGTCGTCTCGAGACGTGTATGGAGGATGTTGGACAGTCGAGAGAGAAGTGCGGGCTCGCGGGGGCCTTTGAGAACGGCTGCCACACGGGTTCAAGTAGACCGGCATCGACGTACGACGTACGACGTGCTCCGTGCATTTCACAGACACCGGAGCCTCGTCGTCCGCACCCTTCATGCCGAGGAGCGCTCAGCCATGACTTCCCGACTGACTAAGTTGGTTAGTACGCTCCAGCCTCTTCCTTCTCCCGTCATCATCAACCCATTTCCGAGCCCACACGCAACTCCTTACCCCTTGTCTCTAGCGCCGAGGCTACCGCAGCGCCTCGGAACCCAACGCCAAAGACTTGATTCGACGCCAGACCGAGACTGCCTGGCCATCCCGACAAGCAAAGTCGGCGCGGCGCCCTGTAAATACAATGGTACGTGTGATTGCCTGCTTGCTACTGTACACGGGCAAGCGTGACCTACATCGCTGGGCTCGCATCCGTTGTGTTCGCACTCGAAGTCATCGCATCACCTGCCTGCCGGCTTGCAGGGCGCACAGCTACCCGCTCAGAGCTTGAGCGGCTCAAACTTGTCGGCCCACGACGACCTGACGCAGCGCACGTCGCCCGCGGCATCGTAGCGCGCCACGGTGGGCAGGCGGCAGAGGGGCTGCTTCTTTTTGCGCTCGTCCTGCGTCGTGGCATCGAGGCGCTCGGGCGCCTTGCCCTTCTCGACCCACTCGACGAGCTGCGACAGCGCATCGTCCGGCAACGCGCCCACCCCTCCGCGGCAGTGGCCGACGCCCGGAGCGAAAAAGACGCGGTAGAAGTCGTCGACGTCGACGCCGTGCTCCCTCTCCATCCGGCGCCGCACGCGCGTGTAGTAGTCGACGGTGCCGTCGCCGCTGATGGCCTGGTCGCTGCCGCCGTGCCAGGTGAGGATCTTGGCGCCGTGGCGGTACGCCGCCGACAGGTCCGCCTGCGACGTGTCGATCAGCTCGCCGTACTCGTGTCGGCTGCGCGCCAGCATCGACGCAAACGCCGCCTCGTCCTGCGAGTCGACGTCGAAGCTGCGGTCCCGCTCCACGGCCAGCCTCGTCCACGCCTGGGCGTACTTGGAGAAGCGCGGGTCCAGCCCGGCATCGGTGAGCAGGTCCGAGTCGTAGTTGTATCCGTACCACACCCGCTTGCCCTCGAGGCTGGGCCCGCGCCACGCCTCGTTGGCGATCCGCGCAGCTTCGGCCGAGATGCTCGTCGTCTCGTTGCCCGTGTTGGTGTCGGTGCCGTTGTCGTTGCCGGTGCACCGGAACTGGCGACCCACGACGCTCATGGCGTCAAACTCGCACAGCTCGGGCGCCGCCACGACGCCGTCGGTCGCGCCGTCGAGGGCGTCGCACGCCTCGACGGCCAGCCGGCGCACCTCGCTCAGCTCGCACGCGGGGCCCTGGAAGCCCAGCCGGCGGCGCAGCAGCGACGTGTGGTCCATGGCAGGCACAAATGTGGCCCAGTTGATGGCAGGCGCCGCTGCCATCAGTCCGTCGTAGTCGGTCGGGTACCGCTGCGCCTCCATCATGCCCTGCCGCCCGCCCGTCGAGCAGCCAGTCCAGTACGAGTAGAGCCTCCTCTTGCTGCCGTAGTACTGGCGCGTCAGGTGCTTGCCAGTCAGCGTCATTTCGTGGATGGAGCGGTGGGCAAAGTTGACGAGGAGGTCGCGGTTGACTTGGTCGCTGCCGTCAGTCTTGAGGATGAACTCGCCGTCGTTGGCCGAGCCCACGCCGGCATCGGTCGACGAGGCGGCAAAGCCGCGCGCGATGGCGGGCGCCAATTCCCCCGCGAACCTCCCGGCGATGTAGCCTCCGCCGCCAGTGCCGAGGAAGCGGCCGTTCCAGAGGTCGTCGGCGGGCAGCCAGGTCGAGATGAGGACGCGGTCGTCGGCCGTGCCGTGCGTGAGGGTCACGTTGACCTCGCAGAACCGGATGGTGCGCGACAGCGTCACGTTGGTGCGCTCGGCCGTCTGTACGTCGACGACCGTGGCGCCGGCGATGCTGGGCGGTCGCAGCTCGTCGCACCTGGGCGCCTTTGCCGGTTGCGCTGCCGCCGCGCCCAACCAGCTCGCTGCCAGGAGCAGCAGGGCCGCGGGCGTCTTCAGCAGCGGGCCAAGGTGCATCGTTGCGCAGATGGTGCGGAACGCGGGTCTGTATGGACGAGAAGGTGGAAGCTGACCCGGAGGGCGACGACGACGATGCTTATCGAGGGTATGGGGGTTGTGCTATGGGGCGTTGCTCGAAAGCGATCAAGATGACGGGCAAGAAGGTCTCCTCACACCTCTCTTATAGACGTAGAGGGAGTCGCCCGTTCATCTTGGCACTGCGCCGACTCGCCTGCAACCCCCATACCACCGTATGGCGCAGCGACAAGCAAGATCCGGCCTTCTTCGTGCGAATGCCAAGCTACGCTCTGACCTCGTCAAGGACGGAGCGGGGAAGGCGCCCAGCGAGCACTCAGTGCGGGGAGAGACGAGGCCCACGCGGAATCGACCCCCATCCCACCCGCGCTCCTTGCCGAGACGGTTTAGCCGCCCGGCAGCCAAGGTGGTCGGTCAATTTCCATCCCCATCTGGGCCATGCGACGCCGTGCACATGCGCCGGCGGGTCAGATGCGAGCAGACCAGAAGATGCACGACAGTAGATACGGGTAACCCGGCCCGAACTGGACACCGATACATACGCGTCGGGGGGCAGTCTTGATTGTGGCGCCGCCAGGGCACGGTGCGGAGGGCCCCGTGTCTGAAGCATCCAGATGGAATCCCGAGGCGGGCCGGGGCTCGGACCGCACAGCGCACGGTCCGGAGCACGAACGACTTGAAAAGGCCAGCGGACGAGCGCAGATCCGCATCGTGAAGTGATGGGTCGCGCAAGAGACAATGTGCTCAAGGACAAGAGGCTGTGGCAGATCAGTCGACTGTTGCACCACCGGAGGCACGGTGCCGTTTCGCCGCCAACGCTTTCATTGCCTTTCAGGGGCCCGTTGTGAATGAACGACGATGAGGGTATGTACGAAAAAGAGGACCGAGGCACAGAGAGAGAGAGAGAGAGAGAGACCGTAAACGGCGGCATGAGATGGGTGACCACGTCCCCACTGGCAAGGGGACGACGGCGGAACACCAGACTCGTGCGGCTCCAGCAAGGGGGGCTGGTCGACCGAGGGATAGGTGGAACAACGGCTCAGCGCCTGAGCGGGTCGAGCGGGGTAAAGTTCTGGGCAAACGCCGTGTCCCTGCACTCGAGGTCGCCGTTGGCCGTGTAGCGCGGCAGCTTGGGGTACTTGCACAGCGGCTGCTGCAGCTTGCGCGAGTCCTGCGTGGTGGCGGGCAGGCGGTCGGGCGCCTTGCCCTTCTCGACCCAGTCGACCAGGGCGGCGAGCGGGTCGTCGGGCAGCGGTCCCGTGCCGCCCTGGCAGTGCTGGACGCCCGGCGCGAAAAAGACACGGTAGAAGTCGTCGATGTTGACCTTGCCGCCCAGCTTCTGCTTGACGCGCGTGTAGTAGTCGATGACGCCCGTCGGCAGCACCGCCTGGTCCTGCAGACCCTGCCAGGTGAGGATCTTGGCGCCGTGCTTGTACGCCTTGCGCAGGTCCGGGTCAGCGGTGCCGATCAGGTCGTCGTACCGCTTGACGCTCTCCTTGACCGCTTTGTACAGGCCGTGCGCGTCGAGCGTCGTCAGGTTGAAGGCGCGGTTCTGTTCGACTGCGAGGCGCAGCCAGGCGTCCGAGTAGTGCGTAAACGTCGTGTCAATCCCGCTCACTTGCGTCAGGTTGGTGCCCACGTTGGCGCCGTACCACACGCGCTTGCCGTTCTCCTCGAAACCGTGCCACGCCAGGTTGGCAATGTCGGCGCCCTCCTTGGAAAAGGTGAGCGACTCGCCCGTCGTGCTGCAGGTGAAAGGCTGGCCGACCAGCGTCGACGCGTCAAAGTGGCACTCGCTCGTGGCGGCGACGATGCCGTCCTTGAAGCCGTCGAGGCCATCGCACGCGTCGACGGCGCGCTTGGTGATCTCGGCAAGCTCGCACGCGGGCTTGTTGTAGCCGATCTTCTGGCGGTACAGGTCGACGACGTAGCCGGCGGGCACGAAGCGCGCCCAGTTGATGGCCGGCGCCGCCGCCAGCAGGCCCTCGTAGTCCTCGGGATAGTTTTGAGCCTCCATGTAGCCCTGCCGGCCTCCGGTCGAGCAGCCGTTCCAGTATGAGTAGAAGTGCTTCTTGCCATAGAACTGGCGCGTGAGGTCCTTGCCCATGACGGTCATCTCGTGCAGGCTGCGCTTGGAAAAGTTTTCGAGGAGCGTCTTGTCGATCCGGGTGCTGTTGGGCTTGAGGATGAAGTCGCCCGTGTCCGACAGGCCGACGCCGGCGTCGGTCGAGACGGCGGCGTAGCCGCGCGCCACGGCGGGGGCGAGGGCGATGTCGAGGTATCCGGCGCGGTAGCCTCCTCCACCGGTTCCCTGGAAGCGGCCGTTCCACTTGTCGGCGTTGGGCAGCCAGGTCTTGACGATGACGTTGTCGTTGCCGCCGGCGTGCGAGAGCGTCACAATGACCTCGCAGTACGACAGCGGCACGGTGCCGCCGGTGAGCGGGTTGGGGAAGGGCGCGTCGGTGTGCTGGATGCGCTGGACGCTCTGGTACTTGACGCCGGGGATCTTTGGCGGCTGCAGCTTGTCGCAGCTCGTCGGCGACTGCGACGTGGGCGAGGCGTAGACGGCGGCGCCGCTGGCGAGCAGCGCGGCGGCCGGGAGCGTGACGGCGGTAGCGAAGCGCATCGTGGCGATCAATCGCAAGGAAGTGTGCGCTTTAGGTAGCTTGGAAGGGCCTAGGGGGTTAGGAGAGGGCGAGGGAGGAGGGAGAGGGAGTCGTGAGGGTGGCGGAGGAGGAAGCGGGAGGATGGTCCAGCCAGTCCTGTATTTCTACCTTTGTCGATCAAGCGGGTGGGCGAGACGACGGCCTGCAGCGTGCACTATGCACTGCACCGCGCTGCACGACACGGCACGGCGCGGCACTTGACGGCAACCGGGGCGAGCTAGGGTGAGGATCAAGGCCGAGGGATGAGGGACACGAAGTAGAGCTGAGGCGGATGGAGGAAGGCGCAGGTCCGGAAGCTTGCAGGAAGGACGGGGCGGCGACTGCAGACAGACGGCCAGGAGGGGTCCGATTGTGTACGGGCGGGCGAGGGCGGGGGAAGGCAGCGGATCAGCCGCCGACGAACGACAGAAGAGAAAGGTGAAGGGGGCGGGGCGGGGAACCAAGGCCAAGACGAGAACGGAAGAGAAGACGAGAGGAGTGGGCGGACAGCGGCGACGGCGACGGCGGTGGAGGCCAAACAAGCCAGGTACATACACACCGACCGTACCGAGCGACGGCCTTGGATGCACCTCGCGGTGAATGCTCGCATGGTGCGCCCCGTGGCGTCGGTCGGTCGCCAAAAGGTTGGTCGACCGACCTACGACGAGGGGCGCGCATGGCCAGGCCAGTCCTGGCAGCTCGGTCAGACGCAGATGAATCTTATCCTCAGTCTCAGAGTGTAGGTTTGCCGTCGCGCGGCCGCCGCTCGAAACAGGTAGGTGTTATGTACGTTGCCCTGCGCTTAGTGCGACACGTAGGGCCCCATGCCAGGCCATGGCTCTCGGGATGGCGTCGCCGTTGCCGCTCGAGGCGATGATCGCAGCGCGCCCTCTTTCAGCGCAGGCCCTTTGGCTCTCCTTTACGCAGCTAGCCTTGGACAAGGACCAGACGAGCAAACGGCCAGGCGTGCGTTCGGGGCGTAGCATGGGGCGCCGTCACCGCCCCTAAGCTCGACGGACCGGGGCGTTCGGGCTGCTGCCCCCACCACATGCACGCACAGTGGCACTAACGCCCCTAAGCTGTGCTGGACAAGGGGGTCCTCGGTATGGAAATCCGGCGAGCCATACGAATGATACGACGAGGAAAAAGACACGGCTCGAGACGAAGCCGGGCACCGGTTCGAGTTGGGGCCGGGTCGTCGTTGGTTACGGTGGCGGTTGAGAGAGCGAGGCAGGCCGGGACTGTTTACCGTATGTACTCGACTCAGACTCGGATGACCGAAATGGAGCTAGGAACGGACCTTCCAGATCTCGTGATGCCACATACGGACCGACAGGAAGGGGTCATCGACGACGGCGGGCGGACCACGCAAGGGCACGTCGTCGTCGTTACGTTAAGGTTCGGCTTGAGGAGCCTCGATTGTGACGAGTAGCGTTGCACCCTTGCAGGGCGAAAAAGGGTGGGGAACAAGCAAGCACGGCAAGCAGGCAGCACGGCAGCGACAGCGAAGCACGCACACACACCCTCTCTCTCTCTCTCACACACACACACACACGTCTGTACGCACACCGATGCAGCCGAAAGCGGACGGCCGAGGCAGGGTCAAAGTACTCTGTACGTGCCATGGCCGTGGTGGGCGGCGGGCGGCGGCGGTGGCGGTGGCGGAGAGGTGCTACTACTCTGGTAGGATGAGGATAAGCGGCGCGTCTGCTTGCACATATGTAGACGGGATCTCGTCTTTACGCCCGCGAAGGTGGACCCCGCCTCCGACCGACCGAGTGCATCGCATCGCATCGCATCGCATCGCAACGCAGCGCAGCGCAGTGCAGCGCTGTACATGTATGTGTGGGGTTGACCGACGTCGGGCGCTCGGCGGAGTCAGCTACGGCGCAGAGCGGGACGATCCCTAGCCTAGCCTCTTGGTCCGTCGCAACCAACGCCGATCGACCCAGCGTTCAGCAACTCTAACTCTGGCCTTCTATGTATGTATCTTGCTCGTTCCTTGTTTGTTTTCCGTTGGTCGTCGTCGTGTATGTACACGTTGCGCCGTCTGAATCGCCCGTCGTCGAGAAAGACACGGTTCAAAGGTGTACGTTGCGTTCCAAACATCTAGCCTACGGCACCTTACGTAGCAACGGGACGTGAAGATCTGCATGTTGCCAACCTGACACCTAGCTCCTGCTCTCGCAAACAGAGCAAGCAAGGCAGGGGTGACAAACAGCGATGTGTCCGATGGTCGGTCGGCGCCACGTCCCAACGGGATCGGAAAGCAGACGTCCGGGTGGCAACGAACGGCGACCCGCATCGCCCGTGGCTTTCCTCGTCCGCCGCCCTCGCTGGAGTCGCATCTCGGGGTAGAGAGAGAGACGACGCATCAACGGAGCCAAGACGACGGGTGAATTGGCCTCTTTCCCTCTCGGCTCCACGCCTCGCCATGCCTGGCCACGCCACGCCTTGGTCCGCGTGGTCGTGGTCTGGTCGTCGTCGTTGCTCGTCCCGGCCGGGACAGCGCCTCGCCTCGCCTCGCCTCGCCTCGCCGCCTGTTGCCAGCCGTCCTGTGTACACGACCGATTCCTCCTGCCCAGCATCGTGCAACCAGAACCAACAAGACTACTAGCTCTACTTACTCGCAGGTCATCCGCTCCCTGGGCGGAAGGGGCGTGACAAAAGAAAGGCTACTGAAGCCATACACATCCGTCATCCCATTGCTGCCGGTGCTACTGCGTGGCAACCCACCGCCAGCCTCATATCGTCCGACTTTGCGCCCAGCCCATGCAGCAGTACGTTGCTCACCAAGGTCGGTATGCTTGCTTGGCAGAGCAGGGCAGGCAGGGCTAGATGCCGGGACCTGCCTTAACTCCGCGGCCCCGCCTCGTCGACATGCACCAGCGCTCGATCTCGGTCGTGCTCCCCGGACGTGCCATGCGTGCCATGCGTGCCATCCGTGCGTGCGTGCGGGGTAAAGGTCTCTCGCTCTCTCGTCTCTCCTTAGCTTGCTTGACGGCGTCGATGCTCCTCCTGTACCCCGCACCAAAGTCACCCCGCCCCCGCACCTCCGCGGCGAGCCCTCCTTCTGAGAAGAACCTCTCTTCTGGTTCGGCAGCGCTCCTCCATCCCGGCCTCCTCGCGCCCCGGCGATTTCTTTCCGACGGATAAACTCGTGCCCCTCCCCCTCTCACTCGACTCGACTCGACGGCTCTGCACCAGCCCTTGGGCCTGCACCTGCCTGCCTCATCCTCGAGCTGGGATCCTCTATCCTTCCTCGGCCCTCGGACCTCGGCTTTCGGCTTTCGTTCGACGATCTGCGCCTTCCCGGCCGGTTCGATGTTCGGCTCCGTCGCCGTCGAGGAGTCGCCACAGCAGGCAGCAGTCAAACGCAGCGGCGGCGAGAAACAAAGGCGTCTGTGCCAGTCTAGAGATGCATTTATCGATCCGTGCAAGGTCCATCTATCCACGACGACAGCCGCCGCATCATGCGGACCCGGAAGCCGCCGGCGGGTGCGGGTGCGCAGAGGCCACGATGCTCGCGCGTCGCAGCCGGTGGATCTCCTTGCGCGACTTGCGGTACGCGATAAACTGGCCCAGCACGATAAAGTCGAGCAGGATGGTGCCTGTCGAGCGCGCCGCACGGGTCAAGGAAGCAAGGCGGGGCACAGCCAGGTCAGTCAGTCAGCCAGCCAGCCAGCCTCAGGAGCCATTTCAAGACGCGCCAACAACGGCCGCGCTACTCACCCACGCTGCCAGCAAGCCAGCTCATGCTCTCGAGCACGTACTCGCGCTCCGTCGACTTGAGCAGGATCGAGGCCACATACGTGATGTTGCCCGCCACCGCAAACACAAACAGCGCCAGCGACAGGCCCTCGCACTTGGTGGTGCGGTTCTTGAGGATCTGCGGCACGCGGCTCGTCACTGGCGCGAGGGCGACATGGCAAGAGCGCGCTTCTTCGGTCAGCAAATGTTGCCTCTTCCCCTGCCTAGCCGATCCTGGCCGCAACAAGACGCATTCCGGCGACTCACGGTAGAGCAGGGCGCTGAGCCAGCCGTACGCCTGGGCGTCCCACCTCCATCCGACCTCCGCGTGGCCGCCGTCGTCGGGCAGCTTGCCGCCGTGGTGCTTGCCCTCGTTGCTCCAGTTCGACCTTTCGGCCACCCACCACGCGGCGACGCCCGTGGCCACGACGAGGAGGAAGGCGATGCCGTACAGGACGACCTCGCGCTGCCAGCTGGAAGCCGACTCGTCGTCCTTGTCCTCGAGGTCGTCCTCGACGACGGCGCCGTCGGCAATGAGCGGCGTGCGCTCGTCGGCCTCGACCGATGCCGAGAGCGTAGCGATGGGCAGGCCGCGGTGGTAGTACTTGCTGTAGTACCAGTACTGGAAGATGAGGACGCAGTCACACCCGCAGTAGTAGAGGGCGAGGATGACCTGCGTGCGCCGAGAGGTGGGTGGGGTTGAAGGCAGAGAGAGGGTGCGAGGGGCGTGGGTTAGCTCCTAGCGCGGCGGCGGTGGGGGCGTGGGCGCCTAGGCCCATGCTGCAGCGACGCTCACCATGGTCCAGAGGAGGCCCTGCATCATGGCGCCGGCGGCGTTGAGGGCGTCGCCGGCGAGCCAGATGACGATGAATGTGATGCTGAGCCCCTCTGCGCTCTTGGAGACGTAGTTCTGGTGCATCTGACTGAAAGACGGCAAGACCTAAGAAAGCGCGTGAGAAAGAGGAAAGGAAGGGGGGAGCCATTTAGCCGGGACGAGGAAGGGGGGCGGTGTGGATGCGCCGAGGCTCACGGTGTATAGACGATTACCCAGCAAGCGATAGAGACCCAGCCCATGATGCTGCTCCACTCGTCGCGCAGGTGCGCGCTGGTGTGCCGGTGGTGGCGGTGGTCGCCGCCGCCGCCGTGCTTGCTCTCGATGGATGGCGGCAGGGTCGACGTTGGTGATGGTGCGAGGGCGGGCGTGGCCGATGCCGATGCCGATGCCGATACGAGGGTGAGGAGGAGGGGCAGCAGGATGAGCCACGGTGCGAGCCGCTTGGGCGCCCACCCTGTCCGAGTTGCGGATGGCGAGAATGTCGTTGAAGAGGCGGCCATCGTGGTACGTCGGCTGCCAGGCCTGGCCGGGGTGCTGCGACGGGCGATGGTCGAGGGGGTCTTGCGAGTGCCTTGTTGCGGCGGTGTCGTTGAAGCCAGGCCAGGTGTAGCAGTGCGGTGCAGCGAGGTGGTCCAACCGGCGGTCCAATCGGTGGTGGTGGTGGTGATGGTGGTGATGTCGGTGGTGATGTCGGTGGTGATGTCGGTGGTGATGTCGGTGGTGATGTCGGTGGTGACGACGGCTGGTGATGGTAAAGACGGAGGAAGGGCTCGTGTGATGTGACTCGCATCGACCTACACAAGCAGCCCGTCGTCTTTTTCGTTTGCCAGCTGCTGCCGCCCCACCGGCCGCCTCTCTGCTGCTGGCTGTCAGGCTGCAGCGGGGCAGGGCAGAGGGCGGGCAAACGAGCGAACGAACTTTTGGGCGAATTTGCCGGGGGGCTGAGGGTGGCGGCCATATCAGCTGCCCTGCCCTGCCCTGCCCTGCGTCATTTTCTTCGCTTCTTGCCCTCCCCCGCATTTCAAACCACAGCCAGCACCGCGGCAGGCCCAGCTCGCCGAGTCACTGCACTGGTCGCATCGGGCCCGTTCCGCCAATTGCCACCCGCCAGCTCGCTGCTACCTGCTCGTGGAAAGCAGCCCGGACACTGCCTCTCGCCGCCGTCACCCCGCAGACTCGCAGGTGCCTCAAGTCGTCGTCAGCATTATATCCTTGAGCTTATATATTCGCAACTTTTGAAAGGCCCAACATCAAGGGGTTCTATGGAGTAGTGGTCAACTCTAGCGGTTCTGACTTGTCTGCGCAGAATCCCCTCCGATTGGAGGGATAATCGGTTTCCGCTCGCCCCCGGTTCGAATCCGGGTAGGACCTTGCTTTTTGCCTGGAGCCATCCATGGCCTATTTTCCTCGCCATAATTTGGCGTCATTTTGCGATCCTCGCTGGACGATGCCGACTGCCGCCGGTAGCGGTGAGAAGTGCGACAATGAGGTTGCAGGGTCCGCGACTCGAACCTGGCCGCGACTGGACGGCGTGCTGCCTGGCACCCCACTGCAGTCGGCGGCGATGGCCACCTGGACCGATAGCGAATGCCGCATGTCAGACAGAGCAGAGGTTGCCGGGCGAGCGAGGATCAGGCGGGGGCGGGCCATGGATGAAGGACGATGGCGAGCGAGCGGCCGGCCTTTGCTTGGCTTGTCGGCCACGTTCGGTCGAAAGGAAGGCTGGCCAACCGGGCGAGGGTGGGTACGGTGTTGACGAGGCCGCTCGAAGCCAAGCGCAGCACGCTGCGGTGGGAACGAACCTCGAGCTCGCTCGTCTCATTCTCGCCTCTTCTCGGTGGGCCCAGGTTTGATGGCGACCATGTTCCGTCGGACCAGAAGCGCACTACTCTTGCGGTGAGGAATTGACCGGTGCCCCCCGCCGCAGCCCGGACAGATGCGGCCCAGACAGACGAGGGACGAGCAAGTGACGAGGGTTGCCAGTCTCCCCTCACTGTTCTGTCATCAGACGAGACGAGTGTGGGGCAAGCCAGCCATGCAATGGTTGCAAGGGATCGGCGTCGCGCGTGGCGGGCGGTTGACGTTCGCTCCTACCACGTCTTCTGTCTGCCCGACTCTGACCATCGCTTTTTTGCCCATCGCCCGACAAACCACCACTGACGACACCGCCGCATCCGCTCTGACACCCACCCTGATCCGCCGAAGATCCGCCGTCGATGACCAAAGGCGCCGTCGAGGATGATGCCGTGGCTGCGGGCCGCAACAGCTTCTCTGGCCTCTTCCGGCTTGCAATGGCGATTGCGAACCGCGGTTGGTACCAAAGCTGACTGTGCAAGCCCTCTCGTTGTGGCGGCAGCGGCAAGGCTCCGTTCAGGAAGCATCGAGGCCGTACCTGTCCAGACACGACGGGCCCGTAGACGGCGTCGCGGAGGTTCTTGTCCAGGATGATGCATTCACCCGGTCCGGCCCTTCACGCGGCCGCCGAGGTGCACGCCACGCGCTCCACGGCCGGTCTGGCCTCGCCACGAGACTCGCCCGACGCCGTCGACATCCGTGTGTATCCGAACCTCGCCTGCCGCCCGCAGGAAGCTGAGGAAGGTCCCGTTCGGCAGTACATCTGTTGCCGGACCATGCTGCGATGGAGGCACCTGCCACGCTGCGATACGGAGCGGCCAAATGGTGACTAGCCACCAGCATCTCGTTGATGCTTGGCGGTGCTCGGCCTGTAAACACACCGACCCATCGCCCACGCCGGTTTATGCACCGGTGGGACGCATCTTTGCGGCATCATAGGGCGCAGCCATCGCGGTGCTCGCCAAGCCGTGCTGCGCCGTCGCAAAGGCCGGCCGGCCCGCCACCGTGGCTCGGTCGACGTCCCTCGTCCGACGCGATCTTCACATGGCATGCGCAGCAAGACGGGGCAAACACCCTAGCCGCGAGATCCGGCCTGCCCGCGCAGATCCGTCAGGCTCGACGCTAGGCTGAGCGGAATCTGGTTCAGCCTCGCCGGTGAATTCCAGGTGCCGACGCCCAGCTACCGGTAGGTAGACGCTTGGCGCGGGTTGCGATTGCAAACGAGCAGAGAGGCGGGCGAGGATGTTACTGTACGGTAGCTGCGTCTTACATCGCGCAGGTGCCGAGGGCCGTCGTCGTCATCCTCTCTTGTTGCAGCCCTCAGACCCAGACTGAGCCTCAACCTCGGCCTCAGACTCAGGACGGGCGGGCAATTTAGGTCGAGATCGAGCTGGTCCAAAAATGCCCGCTTGCACCGCCGAAGGCGTGACGGCCCCGCTCGACCGCCCAGAGACACCACTATTTGTGCTCTGCGGAGTTCTGCTGGCGGCGCGCTACGGGTGGATCCTGAGGTAAGGCTCCCCTTCTGTCCTTGTCTTGACGGCTGCTCGGGGCCAAGAAGGGCGAGGGTACGTTGGGAGCCGGAGCGCAGAGCGACGACGCGTTCCTCTTTTTCATCGACGGCGAGGTGCGCCCTGTCGTCGGTGCAGTCTGCTGGCAAGAGCCTCAGCGCTGCCGGTCTACGCTGAGTCAAAGCAGCCGCGCTCTCCGAGTACAGCCGCAGTAGTCGAGCTGGAGCAAGTGCAGAGCTGGACAGCACGACGGATGGTACGGCTACTGATGCCCACCTAGGGTCCGGAACGCGTGGACGGCGTGGCAGATCTGTGTGCGACCGGCCAATTCCTCACGGGCGTCGTCTCTGCTTTGGTCGCTCGCGTGCCGGTGTGCATCCGTCACAGGTGCAGCGGTCGGTACGTAAGGCAACGTTGATCAGTACGCCTATTGATTCAAGTGCGGCGGAGTTGTCGGCGAATATTGCAGAAGAGGCGCCGCCTCCGCCTCGCCGCCGCCTCTGCCGCATCCAACGGCCCGCTTTCCCCACTCCTCCCCGCCGCCTCCTCTTGGCTCCTAGCCTGGCCTGGCCTGGCCTGTTCCCCGCGCCCCGCGCTCCGCGCTCCGTCTGGCCGGGCAGCCCAACAAGGGTGGACGTGTGGGGTCAGCCTGGCCGGTCAAATCTCGTCCCCCGTCGCGTGCAGATCGACGACAACAGACGCCGCTGCTGCCGCCGCCGCCTTGCAATTCGTCCCCTACGGGCCTGTCCGGGCCGCGCCGGTCTCGCCTGCCATTCACCGACAGTGCATCCCCTACGGGCCTCGCTTCATCGCAGCGCCGGTACCTCGCTTGCCCACCGCCATTCAGATTGGCTGCTAACCATGTACCTACCTGTAGGAGGAGGTAACTTGTACGTTTTGGCCTGCTTTGGCTTTCGCCAACCCTGACCGACCCGTCCGCTCCTCGTCCGTGTCCGGCCAACCCGTTGGCGACCACAGGCCACCCTCATTCCCCGACGTCCTGCCACGATGCTGGTCCCCACCTGCACTACGCCCCGCAGCCCGCCCGCCCGCGGAGCCCCTTTGCCCATGGGGTCCCCGGAAAGCGCGGGCGTAAGATCTGTTCAGATCCCACCGTCTGCCTCGTGTCGACGGCGATGCTGCCTGCCTTGGCCAGGCGGGCCCCGCTCCGGCTTGTCGTCGGCGGCGGGCCACCGCTCCTGGTGCCAGGCTCCAAACCTGCCCTTCAGCCCCGACCGGCGTCGATGGACCGGCGAAAGCTCCTAGCACTGCTGCGCAGCTTAGCTACAATAGGTACCGCTAATGAGCCCTGCCGACCAGCGTCCTCGCCCAACATATAAAGAGGCCTCTTTTGCCTACGTTCAAACAGCGGAACGACATCCATCCTTCCTCTCCCCATCCCCCTCCCGGTCCCCCTTCATCCTCGACAGCTGGCAAGTCGGCTGCTCCCCAACTCCAACCCGGTCCCCTCCGCCCCTCTTTACCTGCACGGTCGACCTTGATCCGCTGCCATGGTCGCCATCCGCCTCTCCGCCCTCTGGGTGGCCATGAGCCTCGGCCTCTCGGCGGCCCTGGCCCTGCCCATGGACTCGCCCCTCACCCCGTCCGAGGACCTCTTTGCGCGCGACAACGGCAAGAACTCCTACACCGGCCCCTACGCCAAGGGCACCGGCGCATGGGAGTCGGGCTTCGCAAAGGCAAGGCAGCTCGTCGACCAGATGACGATCGAGGAAAAGGTCAACGTCACCACCGGCTACACGGGCAAGTGCGTCGGCTACACGGGCACCGTCCCGCGCCTCGGCCTCACCGCCCTCTGCCTCCAGGACGGCCCTGCCGGCGTCCGCCCGGCGCGCAGGGTGTCGCAGTTCCCCGCCGGCGTCACCACCGCCGCCACCTGGGACCGCGACCTGTTTGCCAAGCGCGCCGAGGCCCTCGCTGACGAGTTCAGGAACAAGGGAGGTGGGTATCCCCCAGCGCCGCTGGCCGTGCATGTTGTTCCCATCCGCACCTTGAGCTCGCATGCTGACCCTTTGACTGTCGCTCCGGTGACTTGTCCCCCCTCCCCTTTTCCCCCGCGTGCCATCCCGTCAGTCAACATTTGGCTCGGCCCCGTCACCGGTGGCCCGCTCGGACGTGCGCCGCGCGGCGGCCGCAACTGGGAAGGCTGGGGCAGCGACGAGTACCTCTCGGGCGAGGCGTCGTACCTCACCGTCAAGCACGCCCAGCAGAACGGCCTGATGGCTTGCAGCAAGCACTACATCGCCTACGAGCAAGAGACTTACCGCAACCCCTACAACCTTACCGAGCCCTACGCCGTCTACCCGCCGCTCGAGCAGAGGCCCATCTCGTCGAACCTCGACGACCGCACCAGCCACGAGCTCTACATGTGGAGCTTTGCCGAGGCCGTCCGCGCCGGCACGGCGACGATCATGTGCTCGTACAACGAAGTCAACCAGACGCACGCGTGCGAGGACGACTACTCGCTCAACACGCTGCTCAAGAAGGAGCTCGGCTTCAACGGCGCCGTCATCTCGGACTGGGGAGGAACGTGGTCCAACAAGGGCTCGGCGCTCGGCGGCCTCGACGTGACGATGCCCGGCACGGGCTACAAGGGCGTCTTTGGCGACTTTTTCGGCAAGCACCTCGTCAAGCTCGTCGAGGGCGGCAAGGTGCCCGAGTCGAGGCTCGACGACATGGTGATGCGCGTCCTCGGCCCCGCCCTCTCGCTCCAGGACCTCGCGCAGTGGCCCGAGCCCAGCTTCGACGTGCGCGACATCACCGTGCCCACCAACAACGTGCGCGACGACCACCACAAGATCATCAAGAAGATTGGCGAGGAGAGCCTGACGCTGCTCAAGAACAAGCGCTCCAAGGACGACCCGCGCGGCCTGCCCCTCAAGTCGGCCGCCGACCTGCAGAGCCTGGCCGTGCTGGGCCAGGACGCTGGACCGGCTGAGCGCGGCATGACGTCGTGCGGCGACGGCGGCACCTCGTGCAGGCCCGACGGCAACAACGGCACCCTCACCCTCGGCGGCGGCTCCGGCTGGGCCTACCCTCCCTACATCATTGACCCGCTGTCGGCCATCCAGCAAAAGGCGCGCGAGAGCGGCTTCGACGTCAACCACTCGCTCGACAACTACAACCTCGAAAACATCGCCTTCCAGGCCAACCACTCCGAGGCCGCCCTGGTCTTTGTCAACGCGTATGCCACCGAGAACCAGGACCGCCAGAACCTCACCCTGTGGGCCAACGGCGAAAAGGTCATCAAGACGGCGGCCAAGAACAACAACAACACCATCGTCATCATCCACGCCCCCGGCCAGGTCGAGATGAGCAGCTGGGCCGGCCACGAGAACATCACGGCTATCCTCTACGCCTACCTTCCCGGTCAGGAGTCGGGCAGCTCGCTGCCGCCCGTGCTGTGGGGCGAAAAGTCGCCGTCGGGCAAGCTGCCCTTTACGATTGCCAGAAAGACGTCCGACTACCCGCCCAACACGATCATCGCCGACCGCACCAAGGCGCCCCAGGCCGATTTCACCGAGAAACTCCTCATCGACCACAAGTGGTTTGACGCCAAGAACATCGAGCCGCTGTACGAGTTCGGCTTCGGCATGTCCTACTCGTCGTTCGAGTACGGCGACTCGCTGCGCATCGAGGAGACGTTCGAGGCCGACGAGTCGTCGGTGCAGAAGACCAACGAAAAGTGGATGGCGCCCGAGGGCAGCTTCGCCGCCCAGGGCTCGTCGCTCTACGACACGCTCCTCACCGTCTCGGTGGATCTGACCAATACGGGCTCCGTCACGGCGGCCGAGGTGGCGCAGCTCTACGTCTCGCTGCCCAAGGGCGCCCGCTCGCCGCCCAAGCTGCTGCGCGGCTTCGAAAAGGTCAACCTCGCCCCGGGCGAGACGCGCTCGGTGGCGTTCAAGCTGAGGAAGAAGGACCTCGCCTACTGGTCCACCGTCGAGCAGGCCTGGAAGCTGCCCCAGGGCGACGTCACCTTCCGCGTCGGCGCGTCGAGCCGCAAGCTCTCGGCCAAGGCCACCAAGAGCTTCTGACCGGGTCGCAGACCTGGCACCTGCCACGGTGCAGTATAGACTTGGACGAGTAGAATAACCGACCGACCGACCGACGAGCGGCGATGTCCCCGACTCTTCTCCGGCCTTTGTTGCCGCTCACTCCTGCTCCTCCTCAAGGAAGAGGATGCAGGGGTGCGCGCGGCGCGGTGGCTGTAGATTGAAGAGACGCATCCGTCGTTCTGTCCGACTGTGTATCACCCTCGTCGCTCCGCTTTGTAAAGGGAGATGAAACGAAATCACGAATCGAGCGAAATGCAGTATTCACTTGGAGCCAGCCCGTCCTGTGCGTGCCTCTCTCTCGGCCTCGTTCGTCGGTGTCGTTCCGCCTTCGCGCCTGGTCCTCGCTCCGCCTACGGGCTCGAGCTGAAGGTGCGTGGAGCGGCGCACCATCCGTCGTGGTCGTGTGCGTGCAGAAGGCGCTGGAGGGGAAAAGCCTGGCCTGTGGACCGCCGTGCCGTGCCGTGGTGTGCCGTGGCGACACGGGCCCATTGCGAAAGTGGACGGGCTAGATATCGAGGCCCGAGGCCGCTTCAAGGCCGGCCGAGGGCGTACGGAAGGACGGAACGGATGCAAGGACAAGATGGAAGGGGGAGGGGAGGGCACGGCGAATACCTCCCTCGAAGACCCTACCTCGAGGCCGGGTCCCGCACAGCGAGCACAAACAGACGGCGCCGGGGGAGGGGGAAAGGGGGTTCTCGCCGTCCGTAGCCTTGCTGCTACTTGCTCGTGTACACCGGCCTGGCCTCGGCCTGCCGCATGGAGGGGAAGAGAGCGCCGCAAAGCGCCGCAGGGAGCCAACGAAGCGCGGGCGCTTGCAGGGCTACATGTCGAGCTTCATGCCGAGCACCTCCCAATTGCGCCCAGCCTCTGCGGCGACGACGACATTGTCGCGCGCCCAGGCCTTCCAGACGTCGTCGACCTCGACGTACCTCCAGTGGAACCAGACGAGCTCCTCCCACAGCGTCTTGCGCACGTGCACCCTCCGACCCAGGAGCTTGCGCACCGTCTCGCCATCCCTCGCCACCTCGCCCATCAGCCGTCCGTACTCTTCCTCCCACCCCGCGGTCGATGCCGATGTCGATGTCGATGCGGCGTTGGCTACGGCAGCGGCGGCAGCGGCGTCCTTTTTCATCTGTGCCGCCTTTTTCGTCGTCCCCTCCATCCTCTTTCGCAGAGCATCGACCTGGTCCGGTAGCAGTCGGTCGAGCCGGATAAAGAGGTCGCGGAATGCAGCGACCAGATCGCGCTGGTGCTTGAGCGACTCGAGGGTGTATCCGCCCTCTCTGCTCGACCGCCTCGCCACCAGGTCCGAGTGGGCCTGGTATGCCTCTCCCACCTTGCGCAGGCACCCCTCGGCGGCCTCCCTGCTGCCCCCGCGCCGGCTGTCGCTCTCGGGCCTCCACCGCCGATCCGAGCTCTCGGCCAACGACAGGAGGCCAAAGTTGAACCTCGAGAAATCGGCCGCCGCCGCGTCGTTGCGCCGCACCATCCGCTCAAACAGCGCCACCGTCGACGTCCACCGCTCCAGCAGGTCCGGCAGCGCCCGTCGCTGCTGCGCCAGCTTGGCGTCGAGGTCTTCCGGGATCGACATCTGCTCGACCTCGTCGAGCACCTTGGTCAGGCCCTCTTCGTCGAGGTAGAGCGGCGGCGCCGTCTGCCGCCATTCCGACAGCGGGCGCTTCTCTGTCATGAACACGTCGACCAGCCGGTCCTGCCGCAGCACCGGGTGCGAGCTGTGACGGTGGGCGCCCCGGGGGTCGAATAGCAAGGAGCGCGGCGAGCGCGCGAAGGGGAGGGATGGAGAGGTAGGAGGATTAGAACGTGCGACCTGAGCGGGCTCGGGCTGGCGCTGGCCGCCTCTGGCAGTCGTTGTTCCGCTCGCGATGCTCACCTGAGCACGCGCAGGTAGCGCTCCAGGCCTCTTCTGCGACGTTCGATGAACTGGTCGTCGCCCGACAGATGCCGTCCCGCCATCGGAACTGGAGGGGTCAGACGGCCAGGGTGGCAGGCATGCTCGGTATCAGCGCTGCGCCGCGCAACGGCTTTGCTTGTCATCGAAGCCAGCTCGACTCACGGGAGATGCGCTTGGGCGGCAGGAGGGGCAGGCAGCGGAAGGGATAGCGCTTGACCAGGCAGTCTGCCAGCCACACCCAGTCGCTGTACCTGCGGATGACTGACGACTGGCGCAGCTCCGACGAGACGACGTAGACGTTGTGCTTGATGAGGAAGCCCTCGAGCTCGGAGCGCAGGCGCACGGTGATCTCGTCGAGCGGCAGGTCGGCCTCGGGGTCGTCGGCGGCGCCCACGGCGTTGACCTCGGCCGAGTCCGAGACGTAGCTGAATGGCCGCTGCGTGCGTATTGTGCCCTGCCGCAGCCTCGAGCTCGAGAGGCCGAGCGAGGTCGGGGGGCCGTCCGACGATCGTGGTGGTTCGACGGGACCGAAGGGGGCTTCGGAGGCGCCGCCGTTGGTCGTAATCGCGGCGGTACTGCCATTAGAGCCGCCGCTCTCGCCGCCGTCGAAGGCGAAGCTGCGGAAGACCGATGCGGGACCGCCCGATGCGGAACTGCTGGGAAGGCCATCGCGGTAGGCGGTGCTCGCAGGAGCAGCAGCAGCAGCGGCTGTAGCGGCTGCAGCGTTCGAGCCCGTGTTCCAAGGGTCAGACATCTCGCGCATCGGCCCTGGCGGTCGGGGCGTCAGGACCGGGTTGGGCGGCGGGAAGGTGTGGACGTTGGATTCCGTAGTGGCGCGGATGCTATCGAGGTCGATGGTGGGGCTCTCGACGTGTCCGGACTGGAGCTGGGCGGCGGCCCTGTGCGCGTCGAGGGACTCGCCGCTCTGAGCGTATCGGAGCAGGACGAGGGCGAGGAAAAAGTCGTGGCGGGAGCACCTGGAGGCGGTGCAGCAGAGGTTGAGGATCCTCTCTGCGGTGGCGGCCGTCTCGCCTGCGTCGGTGAGGAGGCGGTGGAGCTGTGCGAGCGAGATGTCGGGGTCGATGCGCGGGTCGGCGCTGGTCGAGGGGTGGTGAGCAGCATCGGCGGAGCAGGCAAGCTGCCAAGCCTGGCCGAAGAGGGGAGGCAGCAGGAGCTCTGCTGGCGATCGAGGGTGTCAAGGGAGGAAGCGAGGGTCAGCCGGGCGATGGCGTGGCGTGGGAGCGAGGCGAGGTTCTCACCTTGAGGCCTGGCGGCGGTAGGGGAAGCGTCTGTGCTTGGGACGCTGTAGCCTCCCCAGGTGAGGGGTCGGGAACCTCTTGCTTCGGGGTTGGAGACGAGGCGGGAAGTTGGGTTGTTGGGGCCGTTGGGCTGAGCGTTTTGTAGCCAAGGGTCGTGCTCAAAGTCGTATGCTGATTGTGCGGCGGTGGTGGGGTATGGCGCGCCAAAGAAGCCACGGCCCGGCTGGGCGTTGTTGCTGCGGATCGAGGCCATTGAGGACGGTGGCCGTGGCCGTGGCCGTTGCGGTTGGTGGATCGCTCACCCCGTGGTGCGATGGGGATGCGTGCCCTCGATTTTGGCCTGATGCGTGCGGGCGAACGGCGCGGCGTCGATGCTGATGGTGTTGTGTTGGTGTTGGTCTGGCCGCAGTTGGCAGCTAGGCGGTGGTTGGGCGTCCAGAGAAGGCAGGGTAGGCGGGAGGTGTCGGGTGTCGACAGACGAACCTCTGTGCTCCGCTGCTCGTGCGCCCGTCTGCGGGGGCCCAACTCAGGGGGGCCGACGGAGGGCGGCGTCGGTGGGGGACCCTTTGACCGACCCCCGCGGGGCGATGTGGAGGACCCATGCATCGACGTGCAGCCTGGCCCAACCACGCTCGGCTCCGGCCAGTCGCTCCATTCGCGCGAGATGGGCAGCGCAAGCCCGATCCCGGTTCGCCATCCCATCGGGCAGAGTATCCTACCATGGCCGATCGAGCAGGCGAGCAAGCGGGCAAGCGGGCAGGCGGGCAAGCGAGCAATCGGCGCCTGTCGAGCCTCGGCATCCTCTTCCTGGCTTGCCATCCCGGCCGCTCTCAAACGACAACGGCGACGACAAACAGCCATGAGAGCCGTCGCTGGCTGGCTGCATTAGATTGCTGCCTCGCTGCCAGGCTGGCTGCCCATGACGGCCGCTCGACGTCGTTCCTGACATGCATACGACAGCCACCGACATCGGAGCAGCTTGCAGCTCGCTCTCGAGGCGTTCAGACGCGCATGGCGCTCAAATCGCCTCTTTTGCCATGGCTCGCCTGCCACTCTCGCTGCTGCTCACCCCGTCTTGCCTGCCACACACTCACTCTTGCTTGCTGTCCGCCAACGGACATGCCAGCGGGCAGCAAACCGGATGCATGCCAGTACGCGCCACCCAGGCTCGACGACGTGAGCTTGGACGGGTCGCATGCCCCAGGCCAATCCACGCTCCCACCACCCTGATAGTGCGCCGCCACCGAGGGACCGCCAGCCAGCAGAGCGACCGGCTCTAGGTATGGTGTGTACCCGCTCCCGACCCCAATCTGTACCAGATCGCACCCGCACCTGCACCCGCACCCACGCTTCGGCCTTTGCACGTCGGCCGGTTCGGCAGCGAGTGTGGCATCCCGAAGCCAGCTGGGGCATACCCCTGCCTGCCCTCGTTCCGATCTTCGGGGCGACTCAGCCAGCCAACCAGCCCGCCTGGCCCCGCCTCGTCCTCAGCTCCGCCCGTTCCCAGCATCCGGATCCAAGGCAGAAAGAGCTTTGCAAGGCCACTACTGTACCTACTCTGCCTCGAGCGCCGACCCAAAAACAACCACGCCAGGCACGCAGGCCGCTGCCATCGATCGGTGCATCGGCACGCCCACGCGCGCACGCTGCCACTGTACTGCACTTCGGCCCGACGTCGACGCAGATCCTACCGGTATCCCGACCTTGCATGCGTGCCTTCCGGCTGCTCCTCCTCGCTCGGAGCATTTGCCGCCTGCTGACAGCGATCCCCAACATCCAGCGCACTCGCACCCAAGCCACCCACAAACGCACCCACGCACGCCGACAGTTCGACACGCCCTCCGACAGCCAGGCCTGCACGCCCGAATGCAAGCAGCAAACGACCACGGCCTCGACATTCCTTTCTCCCGGCCGTTTGTCATCGCCGTCGAGGGGGAACAGTTGCCCCAGGCAGCCACCAGGATGCGCCGTCAAGGGGCACGATTGACCAGGCAGCCACCTACTAGGATGCACCTTCCGCGACAAATGCACAGTCAGCCACCTCCCGGGTCCCTCCAATCGACCGAACATGTCACCTCTGGCACCGTCACTTTGTTTACCTGCCACTCGCGCGCGGGCCTAAGGCGCCACGGGCCCAGTTCCCATCCGATCAATCTACGGCATGGCCAAGGTCTCTGAGACCGTTCGGCAGGACGGCGAGAGCAAACACCGTCGACGTGGCGCGGATCCGTCGCAGGAGTCGCCAAGCCCCAGGGCGCCTTTACTGCTGCGTTTTTGGCAGCGTTCGGCAAAGCCCAAGCCCCCTCGCCGAAATCGGGAATGCTGACAGCCAGAGCCCCGCGCGCAACGACATGCCATCGGAAACCTGCCTCTTCTCCTGAAACACCAACGACGACGTACATTTCGCAGGCGCCGTACAGGCAAGACCGGTACCGACGTACATCGGCCGCGCCGAGGCGGCCAGCCGTGGCATATGTGGCATCCATGGATATGGCCATGGCCTGCCAGGTCGCGGCGTGGCAGCGGCATCTCATGGCAGGTGGCAGGTGGCAGGTGGCAGGTCACGGGCGCCGCATGGATCTGGGTCCCGAAACCGCCTGGCCTCGGAAGGCCCTCCCCCCGAGGGCCATCTCGCAGCTCGCATCGATCGTAATTTCGCCCGCCCCCTCGCTGGCCTGCCCTCTGAGGCGGCGCGCATGCTTGAGCTACGGCCTGCCTGCCGCTGCGCCCCCGTCCCGAAGGCGTCAAATGGCATGACTACGACGGACCGCCGTCGGTCGGTGGCCCCTTGCTCGCGCCCGGGTCACGCACGACCAAGCGACGGCGTAGACGCTCGACCCGACGCCTCTTTCGTTTGTGCGTGCACGATCCGCCGTCCGTCAAACGAACGAGGAGCTGGCTAGATCAGGGGGTACCGGCAGGTGAGAAGAGTCGGTATCCTTGATACCGTACCGTCCCATGATCGGATCGCATCGCATCACATCCTGGCGCCCCTTCCCATCCTCCCGACAGGCAGGCAGGCCGGCCTTCCGTCCTTCCGTCCGTCGGTCCATGGCAGGATGGTTTGTGTGGCTTCGTTTGTTCCCATCGAGCGTCCCGCGAGGCTCGCACCGTCCGTCCTGCCTTTATCCAGCCGATTTCCCCTGTGACGTGTCGGTTGTCAGGGATCGACCTTCTTCCCATCCCATTGTTCCCCCTCCTCTTCCAGCTCCCAGCCCTCAGCCCCTGCTCCGCTGCTGTCGTGTGCCGCAGCACAGACAGAAACGGGCAACAAGGTTTCGACAGACCCCGAGAACAAAGGCGACAACGACAACGACGGCGGCTCCTGAACTGCTTTTGGCGCTTATCGCCGCCGCCGCAGCAGGAGCAGAAGCGGCGGCGCGACCTGTCTGCCTCGTCTGGCCTCGGGCCCCGCTCGACACCACAAACGGTACGGCGTGTAGAATGTCAACCGACGTCAACCTCTCCTGGACACACCGTGTGGTCGGCGCTTTCACGACAACCGGCCCACGCTATCCACTCCCCATCTCCCCGGTGCCACCGCCCTGTCATGGGAAGGTCTACAAGCAGAACCTACCGGACCGCGATGGCTACCTGCCTGTACCGCGCTCGCAGGAAGGACGGAAACCTGGTGGCGTCGTCCTGGATGTCGAGCCGCGCCTTGATCGTTGTCCCCGGACGAGGCGCTGCGCTGGCGGCGCTGCACGTCCGCGAGCCGTCGCTCTGTACGTACCTCCTCGTCTTGGATCATCGAAGTACGGCAGCAAACCTACGACAATCACGAGGTCGACGTCTCTGACATGCTCGAGCGACGGCGGGTGACTCTGCCTCGCTTGACGAGGGCCCGCACACGGCGCAGCGCACTGCTGAGATCCCGGCTGCTACGGTGCGGTACGGTACGGTACGGTAGGGTATGCTTTTATGCCCGTCGATGCCTCTGGCTGAACCTCGTCCCGTCGAGGCTGCACCGCTTCGGTACAGCACGTCGCCGGCGCTTTTGCATCGACGAGCTCGACGTCGCCGTCGCTGTCCTACGGTACCGGTACACCCGCCCCGGTGAGATTGCTGCCCGCCGCGCCAAGCCCTCAGCCCGAGGCAAAGACAGACAAAGCGAGGCAAGGCAAAGGCAGGCAAGGCAAGGCAAAGGCAAAGCGTGCCCGCCTGCCTGCGTCTCGGCAAGTCGGGGTTGCAAATACGTCACATCGTATCCCCTCGGCGGCCCCGCCCCGGCCCCCTCCTTGGCGGCTCGCAGGTCGGTAAACCCCGTCGGGCCGTCTGACGTCCATGCGCCGCCACTTCGGATCGGGGTCCGTACCGTCCGTGCTCAATCGTAGCATCCTGCTGGCGGATCGCATCGTCGGTTGGCTGCTACGACCTCGGTGCCGCACGTTGAGGGCAGAGCCAGCCCGCGCCCTTGCCCTGCTTTGCACTGCCCTGCTGCTGCAAGGTCAAGTCTTTGCTCTTTGACTTGGTCCAAGGCATCGACGCAGTCACAGTCCCGACCGATGACCGGCTTCCCCGCCTCTCTGCCCGACTGCTGTGCCTTTGCTTGTTCGCTTGCTTGCTTGCCTGCCTTTGCCTCGGCTTGCTTGCCCACAGTAGTAGGCCCCGGCGCCGTCTCGCGACCAAAGTCGTGGCCCCTCTGCTGTACCCCGTATGCCGGCCTTTGCCCTCTCCCGTCGACCCGAGCTGCTGGCATCCTCGTACCCGAGACAAAACACCCCCTTTGACCGCTGTCACGGCCAGCAAGGCTGCCTGACGTGACGTGGCAGCGGCTCCGGCCTGGCCTGCCATGGCCTGACCAGGCCGCTTCCGGGGGGGGGCGCAACTTTCGCGGCACGGGGCCATGGATCATCATGATCTTTTCGTCGAGCAGACACAGGCAGACGGAGCACCGCCTTGTCCCCATCGCCGTCCCTGTCCGGCAACGATACACGGGCATGCTGCTGATGACCTGCTACGGCTGTCGCAGGGCCCTCGCGGCGATGCTTGGAGGTCGACGGTCGAGCAATTGCTCGCCAAGGCAATCAGCGGGTCGGTCCGAGGCACGGTCGCAAGAACCAGCAAAGCTCGGTACAGCGTACGTAACACCACCAACCGCTGCGAGCAAGTTACACAAGGCCGGCAATACCTGGCATGGCCGGCATCGATTCTGCCAAGCGAGACGAGACGGCCTCTGCACTCACCATTATACATTGCCGCCGTCGCCTTGTGCGTGTCTCCTCGAGCTCGTCTTCGAGATCGAGCGAGCGC